CTCTCTCTCTCTCTCTCTCTCTCTCTCTCTCTCTCTCTCTCTCTCTCTCTCTCTCTCTCTCTCTCTCTCTCTCTTTCTTTCTTTCTCTCTCTCTTGCGTGCGCGCTCCCCCCCCTCTCGCGCTCTCTCACCCACTAGGCAAACTTGGCTGGATTCTCCTGTTCGTACGACATTATTCATCACGAGGACATGATTGTTGTTGGGAACAATTTTATGTTCACCATTTCCAGTGTGCGATATCTTTCTGTAACTAATTGAGGAGAGTTTTAGCTGAAGTGTTTGTTCTATGCGCAATGCGCATTCGTTTGACCTGGGAAGATGCTGCAGGGAAATCCTTGAATGTGGGCCTAAGCAAAACACATGGGATGAGGCTGAAGATGTTCAATACCCTCGTTGTGTGCATGCGTTTGGACAACGATGTTTAGTCCGCGAAACTGGGCTTCTGCCTTGCGGCATCCGATCCCAAGTCAGTGTTAGAGGGAGATCATCTCCGCGGAGTTGAAGCAAACTGGCCGCTAATTTAAAAGCATTGTAATGAAGTTGACTCATCGGTCAACAATGACCGTTGTGAATACGTTTGACCACTTTTTTTGGATTGGGTCATTCCGTCTATTGATAGATCTGACGGAGGGTTAACAGCCCAAACATGTTCGATACTTAACCTTCTTTGCCCTGAACCAACAACGCCTGGTTGCTATTATATCTGTATCTGGCCTGAAAGTTGTACTGCATACACAGCCAGCCATAGCAACCAGTCATCGTGTTTCGGGGAAGAAGGTATTTCAACTCATCTTCAAGTGTTGATGTCATCAGAAAGAGTTCGTAGAGATCTCCCTCCAACGTTGACCTGTCATCCGCTCACTGCCCTGCATGGCAGATGACCAGGTTCGAGGACCCGTGCTATGGCACCACCTTTTGACTCACGCTCGGAACGCCTGTTTGCTAATGAGATTTGAACACCATCTATTGGTATAGCGACGTAGAAATGTCAAAGAGCATGTGTTAATTCAGCTATACTTCATCGAGTACAAAGGAAATGAAGAACGCAATGCGCGGAGCGAATGTGGGGCTGGCTGCTCCGAGTCATGGTGATTGTTCCGGGAGGATGCTGGAGGGGCAATCTCTATGGAGAAAATTGCATGCATGATGCGATGGGCAGATGTGTGAGGCCCGAAGTCAGGCTCCCACACGGAGGGTTCAAAGAGCTGAGACGATGATATGTGAGCCGAGACGATGATATGGGGGCGTTTCTCAAAGAGCTAACATCCTTGTTTGGTTGCACCGTGTGAAAGATGCTTCGAGAAAGAATGCGAATTGCAAGATGACGTTGACAAGATGGACGGATGTGACGGGACAACTTCAAGGACAAACTACCACAGCACCCGTCTCCACTTTTGTTTAAATTGCCCATTGTTTCCAATGAGAAACGACAGTTCCTCAGACGGTGCACATGCAGGATCTTCCGTTCCGATGAAGGAAGACTCTCCCTCAAGCTGAGCACACACAGGATCTTATCTTCTTCCAGGTTGTACTATACGTAGGCCTGACCAAGGGATGTGTGTGTGTGTGTGTGTGTGTGTGTGTGTGTGTGTGTGTGCGTGTGTGTGTGCGTGTGTGGTCAGTCGTTCAAAACGAAGACAGCCTCTCCGTCAGACTGAACAGACGCAGGATGATATCTTCATCCAGGTTATATAGGTAGGGCTGGCGGACGGATGCATGTGTGTTTGTGTCACACACACACACACACACACACACACACACACACACACACACACACACACACACAGAGAGAGAGAGAGAGAGAGAGAGAGAGAGAGAGANAGAGAGAGAGAGAGAGAGAGAGAGAGAGAGAGAGAGAGAGAGAGAGAGAGAGAGAGAGAGAGAGAGAGAGAGAGCGCTCCTTTCTCTGGTGGATGAAGGGGAAGGGACTTTGATTGCTGGATGGTTCCTGTAGAGAGGGCTAAGGAAATTTTGTTAATTGACATTCTGTGCAGTTGCGAGCGAGCCGAATCAACAGAGCGCGACAGGTTTTCCTGTGACATTATGAACTCTGTTTGTCTTCGCTTGTGCTGTGATAGGAGTTGATGACTTGCAGGTTGGCAACCTAAGCTTGTCCTCTTCTCCCCCTTTTGTCCCCTGTATGGCGGTACATACCTTCCAGTTGAAGAGGTTATCAACTTATCATCCCTTCTCCTCTTCTCTCCTGTCTGTAATTGGCAGTGCAGATGGTCTGACCTACCGTCTTCACCCGAATAGAACGGCCGGTCATTATTGCTGTATTTGATGGAACTTCCAGTCTAGATACAGTGATAATGACCAGGCGTTCTATTCGGGTGAAGACGGTAGTGATGAAATGCTGCTGTTGTCCATGGTAATAAAGGAGTTGTAGTTGCTGAGAGTTTATCTGATCATTATCACTGTATCTAGACTGAAAGTTCCATCAAATACAGCAATAATGAGCTGCTGCCAATGGAGAGTTGTTGTCAGTAAATCTGATTTATCATATTTGTCGGAATTTTGACGTTGTTTTCAACTTTTCATGATATATTTCTTATCGAACTCTTGGATTGCTGAACTTCCTTTCCGGTCACAACGTGTGTCCGTATTTTTGTGACCAGTCTTTGTTTTTTTTTAAGACACTCAAACGACGCCTTCGGTCGGGGGGTTGGCAACTTGGCACAGGTCCTTATGGTCCTGTCTCCTTGTCAATTTCTTCCGAGTGTTGGTCCTGTCGCAATCCACCCACCCTCTACGCTTCCCTCCATCTAGGGCATAGGAAATCCTGTCCAGCATTGATTGCTCCCTGGCTATGAGATAGCCTGACCTTCTGGAGTTCCACTGAGTCTCAGCAAGTACTGGGGACTGGTTTCTTCAGCCCTTTTTTTAATGCGTAGGTGCTTTATATGATCGACATAAAACCCGACTTGTTAAATACTATGAACAAAATATAGGCAGCGGAAGATTGTGTTGTTTACCAATATTGATCGATTACATGGACCTACTTTTCAATCCATTTGTGGAGACATAGCATGTGTTTCTAACCATGACACCAAGGCTGCGGCGCATCATTACTTTGAAAAAGTGATCAATTGCGAGCGCCTGCAATGTTTTCAGAAAAACAGATTCTGTTTTTCGATTCCAGAAACCAGGATACACTGGCAAAAACTTAAAAACCAACTCGATTTATTTCATTCAGCACAGGACGTAATACATTGCCAAGCAATTCACCAATTCTCTGGAGACTGGTTGGGCAGTGAGAATGGGGGCTGGATCGCATCTGTCGGGGGGGCTGGATCACATCTGTCGGATGGGAAGGCAAGCCCGGCGCCCGCCCAGGAATGCAACCAGGAGGAATTCAGGAGAGACTGCCGTATCTGCTTCAGAGACTGGACTACTGTGGGCCAGGAGATCCCACTGCGATCATCCACAGAATTTCCCGACACCTTTCCGCCCCACCACCTGGCAAGGGTTGATATGCAATGGTATGGAGCAGACTGAACGGGTGATAAAGGGCAGATACAGAGCACACTGGTATCCAGAGGAAACAGAACGTAGCTGCTAGGGTAATACGAGTTATCTGGCGGTTTGGTGCAGACTGAAGAGGCGGCCCTTTGTTTGTCAAACATTCTTATCATCAAACCTGGGCAGTTGATCCCCTGGGTACAGGGCAATCAATGCTGGCAGGACTTTGGATGTGCTATGGGACTGCTGGACCCGCTTCCCAGCAGGTGCTGCTCCTCACCAATAGACCGGAGCACCCAGGTCTCTTGCTATTAAAAAAAAAAAAAAAAAAAAGGAAAGGACTGTCGTACTGAATGAAGCCATGATCAGATGTTTCAATAGTCAAGGGCGGGAAATGTTTATCTGCTCTTTTCCTCGTGAAATTGATCCCAGTCGAGTCATGGCACAAATTTCTGCATGTGGTCGCCGTCGATGTGCTGTCTTTTTGTTGTGTGTGTGTATGTATATGTGTGCTTTAGCACGATATAATACTGCCGCGACCATGCCGCGGCATGTTGCATAAAAAAGCATGGGTATAACCTGCGTAGCATCCTGTTCGGGCTCGGTGACTGAACTCAAACGCCTGGTACCGAGCCCGAACGTGGGCCAAAATAGACCGAGCCCGAACTTTTTTTTTTTTTTTTTTTATATATATATAGGGGTTGGGGGGGCCCGGGGGGCATTGCTCATCACTCCTGAACATACACACACACACACACCACACACACACCCCACACCTCCCCCCCCCACACACACGCACACTCCACAGACACACCACACACACTCCACACACCACACACACACGAGGACGTGCTCGGCAGCCCCCTAATTTGCACTCGGTCGAACATGTTCGGCTGCTCGGTGGGGCGCCGAACATGTTCGGTGTGCTACACAGGGTATAACAACATTTGAAAATGATCCTGAAACCTGGTATGCCAATGGGACAAATGCACAGAAAGTTGTGCAAACTTGAAGGCCAGAAAAGCAACAGCCTATAAACCAAAAGCTGCAACCTAAACGGCAGTGAGGCAAAATGCAGAAAGGCAAAGGCAGCAATGTGCCAAAGACAGTAAAGCAAGGGGCTGAAACCAACAAGGGGCTGAAACCATCAAGGCCTCGGACAAGCAGTGGGCACTGGGCAGCAAAGGACAAAGGTTGGAGGGCATGGGGGAGGCAGGCGGCCAGACAAACAACGCAAAGCAGCAAGGCACAAAAGCAGTGAAGCCAAGGACGTAGGGTGGAGGGTATGGGGGGTGGCGGGCAGGGAGACAAAC